GTTGAACCTATAGCATTGTAGAGCAAAACATTCGATTTTGAAGCCCATTTACCATGTCCATAATCAACCCCTTTTCAGGATGGTACACTTTGCAGTATTACGCTGAACACTAGATAGAGAGGACCCTTTTCTTGAAAGTGCCCCACAATTACTGATGCAAATTATTCTTTCAAAATCTGGTACATAAAAATACGCCTGTGATGGTCTGATGTTATCTCATTGCATTAGCAGCCTGGTATTGCCTTTTGCCTCTGAATTTTCAAGCTAAGAATTGTTGCCATAGCTTCATAAAATCTTTAAAATCTTTTCATCGAAGAATTTCAAAGAAATACTCCTTCTTCCCGCCACCATGAGTTGTGATTTGCTGCAAACCTGGAGTTCGAGAAACAATGCAACCTGAGTCGAGAAACCAAGTATCTTCTTTATTGGCAATATTTGTTTCCAAATATGCCATCAACAACATCTCTTCTTGCGCCTCAACAAAATGCACCTCCTTTTCTTTTTGTGAACACTCCCATTGAAAGAGCCCAAGGTTGTGACAACGGTAGCACTCAATTGTTGATTTGTCAAAACTCTGTCTGCCTCTGCCTTGTCCACGGCCCCGACTATTACCGCGACCTCTTCCTCCAGAATGATCTCCATGTGAAACTTTCAAAGCATGCTCTTCTTCATTCTGAGAATTCATGCGTTGTTCATGCACAAGCAGACTACTTTGAAGCTCATCAATAGTTAGCATGCTTGTGTCCTTTGATTCTTCAATAGAACAAACAACATAATTAAATTTGGGAGTCATGGATCTTAGAATTTTTTCAACCACAACAGCATCTCCCTTGTCCTCACCATTTGCTTTCATTTTATTAGCAATGGTAAGAGTTCGGGCAATAAAATTTGCTTTCATTTTATTAGCAATGGTAAGAGTTCGGGCAATAAACTCATTCATAGTTTCTCCAGTCTTCATGTGAAGAATTTCAAAGTCTTTTCGAAGAGCTTGCAGCTGTGCATGCTTAACACGAGTTGTTTCGTGATATTTCTGCTTCAGAGAGTCCCATATGTCTTTTGCTGTATCCTTTTTGAGGATTTTCTCCAGGACTTACCGATCCATTGCTTGAAATAGAAAATTCTTCGCTTTCAAGTCTTTCAATTTCTGATCTTCAAAGCTTTTATTTTGTGCGTCTGTCAAAGATACTCCTTCTGCTGCTGCAGGAACTCTATCTTCTACCAAGTGCCAATACTCTTTTGAGCGTAAGAAATTTTCCATGAGCATCGCCCAATGATCATAATGCCATCAAATTTGGGTATTGCTGGTTGAACAAAAGAAGATTGAGTTGTCATATTTGAATCACAGAAAAGAAGAAAGACACTTATAGAAGACTGCTACTTCTAACCCCCTAAGGGATCTGATACCAAATGTTAAATTAAAGAAGATCTGATTACCAAAGATGTTAAATTAAAGGAAGATAAGAAAGAAAGAGGAAAGAAATTATGAGAAGAATCTGATGATGTTATTAAACTTGACACCAGTAATAAAGGGTTTTTTTTTTTTTTTTTTTGGGTACAAATACAGAGACTAAAAAGAAACTATCTAGAATAAAACCTAAATAAGATGCATCGGCTAAATCATGATCAAGGCCAAAAAGAAAGGAGGAGACTCATAGATCCCAATTCCCAAAGGCAAAAAGGCCGCAAAAACTTGGACAACCAATCAGCACCAGTTATTAGCTTCCCGAAAAATACAAGAGGGAAACTTGGGACCCAAATTGCACCATAAGATTTTTTATATGGAAAACCAATGATCCGAAACCAACCAGAGGGCTAAGAAAACTATTCACCAACTGCATCACCATTAAATTATCACATTGAACAATAAGGTTAGAGTGGTTTGAACTCAAAGCAATTTGCAAACCGGTGAAGAGAGCCCGAAGCTCAGCTCCCAAAACTGTAGTACATCCAATATTAATTGTAAAACCAGCAATCCAAGCTCCATAACTTTCACGGATTAGGCCTCCACCAAAAGCATTTCCATTAACGATGGGTAAGAAACCATCCGTATTATAAGTTATGAAATTTGAGGATTGGTCAAAAAACTTCTATATGGATTTGCTTTCTTTTCATATAACCACTCTATTTGTGAAGCAAATCCCAGAATATACAATTCCAGATGATTTTCTAGTTGGTCAAAGTAAGTGGGGATTTTCACATGGTTAAATATAGTGAAATGTGATAGTGAAACGGTTGTTCACATGGTTAAAGATAACGTTCAAGCTGCTAGAGGAAACAAACAACTTGTTGTCAGCAAGAAAGGATAAGAGGAAAATATGGAATTAGATTTCCCATCATTTTCCCAAATCAGTACACGTAATTAGGGAATAACTATAGGAGGAAAATAATCATCTTTTATTTCTTACCTTCTATAAACATGTACCCTAGCTATATTAACGGTGTAAAGCAACAGAATAATCAATCAATATATGATTCATTCAAAATATGCCTCAAATTATATTATTTAACATGGTATCAGAGCAGGTTCAGTGATCCTAGGATCAAACAATTTCAATTGCTCATCATCTACCAACTTACCTACAGAAATCCAGTCACCATGTCTGATGACGGCAACTCCTCGTCAGCCACCAGTGTGCCGACCCAGAAGACTCGGGCCACCATGTCCGAAGACGGCAACTTGGAGAAACAGTCTAGCATCAACAACGACGACCTGACAATTCAATTAGCAAACCTTATCAGAAATGGCCTCAGCAACCAAAACCAAAAACAAACCCTTTCAGATAATTTAATCATCAGTGTTAAATTGAATAGCCAGAATTATGCGTTATGGGCATGCATGATTAAAGTTGCAATTGGAGGAAAGTCCAAGGCCTTAAAGAAATCAAATTATTCCCCTACGATATTCCACATTTTAATTTTCAAATGTGTCTTTATAATATCTTTAGAAGTATCCTTAAATATCTAAAATTAATAAAATAAAATGAATAATAGGATATTATTTTTAAAGTGTCTAAAATTTAAAGAGAAAAAAAATTGAAATGAAAATATGAGTAAAATTTATTATTTTATTTTATAATTAATAGAAAATATTATTAAAATCCATAAATTAAATAATTTATTTATATCATTAAAAATTATAATATATGAAATATGATAAAGTTTGGAATCATGTTACAATTATTGAAATATGATAAAGGTTTAAAGTTTGGAATCATGTTACAATTATCTTGGGTGTAGACTTAGGTTTGGTCTGATCCTATATATAAATTCTGATATTTGGAAAATTTCAACTTTTTTAAAAGAAATCAAATTATTCCCCAATCATATTCCACATTTTAATTTTTAAATATCTTTACAGTATATCCAAAAGTATCCTTAAATGTCCAAATTTAATAAAATAAAATAGTAGGATTTTATTTTTTTTTAAGTGTTTAACACATGTCCGAAAATGTTTGAAAAGTGTCTATGTTCGACACGGGTATAAGAAGAGATATATTAAATATTTTAAGATGTCTATGTATCTTAGCTTTTAGCTTCTCCTTTTATATCAAAAAAAAAAAAAAAAAAAAAAAACTTTTTTAAAAGAAATCAAATTATTCCCCAATCATATTCCACATTTTAATTTTTAAATATCTTTACAGTATATCCAGAAGTATTCTTAAATGTCCAAATTTAATAAAATAAAATAATAGGATATTATTTTTTTTAAGTGTTTAACACATGTCCAAAAATGTTTGAAAAGTGTCTATATTCGACACGGGTATAAGAAGAGATATATGAAATATTTTAAGATGTCTATGTATCTTAGCTTTTAGCTTCTCCTCTTATACAAAAAAAAAATAATAATAATATTTTTTTTTTTGAAATTTTGTAAATGTTATCACTATTTTGAAACTAAGTTTTTTTTATTTATTTATTTTTATAAAAGGTAATGATTTAGTGAATGATTACAAAATAAAATATATTTTAAGGTAATGATTTAGTGAATGATTACAAAATAAAATATATTTTATTAAGATTCCGTAAAAGACACTAATTTTTTTTGTGAAACAGTTCAGATTTGACTTCAATATTTTTTTTTTTTTTTTTTTGATAGGGAAAATTAACAAGTTTTATTAATAGAAACAGGAGATTTGACTTCAAATTATTAGACATGCTCGGCAATTCTTGGTAAAGTGGCAGCAAGCAAATATGGTCTCTCACAGTCCGGACAGCCTCAAAACCTCTATGGTATGTGTAAAATGGTCTTCTCCTCCATTTACCTTCTTTAAATGTAATGATGATATTTCATTGAATAGCACTCAATATCTTTGGGATGGGTGTTATTTTAAGAGACCATATGGATCATTATGTGGCGGATTTTTCAAGTTTGAAACCGACTATCAATGTCCCAAATTAGGAGAAACTTTTATGAACAAGTCATGATTTGGTCGGTCTTTCACTTATATAAAAGATGGAAAATCTCGAATTTGAGTTATTTTTTCATAAAAATTTTCACTAATTTAGTGAGTTAAGCGGACAGCTCTTTTACTGTGTAGCACACAATCTATACACAATATTATTTTAGCCCGTTGAACCTTCCAATGAATCAAAAATATAAACCCATATCCTAATCTCCCGTTCATTAATTATTGAGCTTTGTTATGTTGTATAAGCAAGGATTAAGGTTGTCTTACTTCAAACTTCAATTTTCCTTTCACTCTTTGTCCATGTATTTTCTTTTTGCTTCTTTTTTTTTTTCTTTATCCACATATTTTCAGCATAGCACATCAGTTTCATATACATTCTCTTTTCGAAGATCACAATGATTTCTTGCAATGTTAGCAGAGAAAAACAGAGTTGAGGGCTCAGGTTATACATGCATTTCTTGCAATGTTAGCGAGGAATGTCGACTGACATAGAAACTGCTTTCATGGCTTCTGATGGCTGAGAACAAATAAAGTCCTCCGTAATTAAGTTAAACAGAAAGCAAGAAAAATAGATCATTCTTCTGATGGCTGAGAACAAATAAAGTCCTCCGTAATTAAGTTAAAGCAAGAAAAATAGATCATTTAATTAATTAATGGAGTTAAGTTTTATAAATGTAGAAGATTGTACACCCGTTCTTTTATTGCAAGTAATTTTACTGCGGTCAAATTCTTTGCAAGTTATTTTGTATCAATGCAGAAATTATTTTGTACCTTCAGATTTCAATTATAATTATTTAATAAGAACCATCTGATTACATTATAAACAGTAATTTGTCACCGGTTAAACATGTTAATAAAAAAATTAACTTTTCAAAACTTTAGTCACAGGACAATTTGGGTGTGGATCTTTTGTCGAAATAGAATGCCCCTCACTTTTTCTTCTTTCTTTTTTTCTATTCTTTTTTTTTCATAAATGGTTTACTCTTTCCGTATAGTATGTCCAGCCCGGATCTTTTTTTGTTTTACGCCCCCTAACTCTTCCTCAACCAGGCTTGGGCACAATAGCAAAGCAAGTAAAAATATTAGTCGCATAGTAAAACTGAGCCAGAGAAAGAATTACTATTTGCTTAACTTAACTCTTATACTTACGGGACACTATATTATCCCCTTTCCTTACAGGTAGACGATTTGCATGAGATAAAGTAATCATAAAACCTTGGCCGATGTACCTTGCAACTTGCATGATTCGTTGCCCATAATTCCCAGTTACCAGGGACAGGATGGCATCGGAAGGACTAGTTCTATTCAAAGCATCTCGAAAGGATAGGAGTCAAGAATGGTTATATAGTACTGCCGGTTTTTTTTTACGTATTTAATTAAGTTTTTATCCAAAGCAAAACCAGTTCCAGTTTTTATCCCTCATTAACTCTAATTATTAAACAATCGGGTATTAAGCAATCCCTTTCAATTTAATAAAAGCGTTAAGAATCAGGAAGTAGTTAAACTTGAACAACGATTTATAGAGCATAAACCATTTAATTCAACCCTATTGTCTCTATAGATTATTACTGAAAACCTGAAATATAATCAGTAATACCTAATTGCTACTAACATTTAAACTTTCATAACAATTACGGATTATGAAACAAAAACCATATTTGAAAATAAAAAACCTCATTTTACAGACCGTAAAAAATTATAATTTGATAAGAATTACTAAGTGGATAGTCATTTCTATTCACCATAAATTAAAAACTAAATTCAAAACAAAAAACAATATATCATGGCACCATCTGAAATTGATAAATAAGTCTCTATCAGTCGAGAAGAGGACCAAGAAAAGGATTCAATTTAC